ACCCCCCCCCCCCCCCCCCTCCCAACATAAAAATTGAAGCAAGCAACATGTCACCCAAGAAAAGCATAGTCACATACCCTTCTACTCATCTACCTCACATATGGCAACCGGCTGTCAACCACAGGATTTGTTATGGTGTTACCAACACTCATATCAGTCTTGGATGTAGATAGACGAATAAATAAATAAAATAAATGAACTCCAGTCATTCAAACTTCTTTCTTATCTTATTTCCTGAAGGCCATGGGTTCCAGGATGTTTTGCTAATTATCAAGTCCCAGGAAGATTTCAAGGTCATAAAAAGCATAAAGGGGAAGTCTAATAATGAAATAGACCACCACAGTGTGGTTATAGTGCCATAGCATAAGAAAGTGATAGAACAGCTTAACATAGTTTCCATGGCCTAGCAACACTAAATCATAACCCAACAAGTACATATTGATAACAGGTGCAACCAAAATTTTTTTTTTTCATTTGACTCGTAATTTTCTCTCTAAGCTCTCTACCCTGCTTTGCGTTGAGTTGGACGGTGTGGGGCGGCATTATCGGAACTCTTTTTACCATCTCTGATTTATGAAGTGAGCAACCAGTGAAAAGTACCTTTGCATTGTGTTAACTAGCCACCTCCAAGCTTGTAATAATGGGAAACGCAGACACATAAATACATATTATTGAAGAAGATATCTAAGTCCCATGCAACTTCAGAAAAAGGAAAAGGTAAAATGAAAACAAGGCAGAAACATAACAAACCTTTAAACTTGTTGACCAACCATTTGGCTCCTCCTTCAATACTGCTAGACACCGACTGTTTGAAAAAGAATAAAAGTCAGCACAATAGGAAAGAAATTGTTGAAACATAACTGTAAAACAAGCTATGGATTGCAGAAAGGCGAAAGCTAATGCCCGATGAATAGCTTCAGTCTTAGAACCTCAAATGCATTGAGTAAAGAAATGTGAGAACTAAATATTTTCAGGAGCTCAAAACATTTCCCAGGGGACAAAGCAATTTCACTCCATCTGCCAAATGCCTTGCAATTTGCCTTCCAATGAATCCTTTTCAATTCTATATGGCATCACTTTAGCCTTGGGAACATATCACATTGGAAAATTAATTCACTCTGACAGCACCATCAGGAAGAGAATAGAAGGACTCCAGTGGTGTAGCTTTACTAGAGGACATCTTACATTTTCTTTTGAACAGCAACACAACAAAATTACGACAGTTGGAAACACACTACATTCACGCAGATCGAAAGTCCTTATAATTATGTTTTAAAACTTTTTGTGTCTCTCGGAATCACTCTCTCACATACACCTCCACACCAAATGCTGACACTTCATGCACGTCAAATTGAACTTTCTGGTGGTTTGGTTCAATCAGAGGCATGCTTATTTTGTGTAGCTAAAACTGTGAAGAGATTTCACTTGGTAAGAAATCTTATTGTCCTGCAAGGAAAACTGAATTCTTTGGTAATATTTTTGCAAAGCAAGATGAGAAACAAAGGATAACATTCAGTGACCGGTCAGAAAAAAGAAAGTGAAACCATGGAGAAGTGGGAAAAGCAAAAGAGAGGGAGAGAGATGCGCTTACTTCCTGCCTGAAACCTAACTGCTATTTAAAATTATCTTCTTAAAATCTCTCAAGGCATACTTAACTTGCATGGGCATATGTGTAACTACAGTAAGCAATATCTCGCATCGCTAAAGTAAAACAGAAAGCACAATGCTTTATCATTCACCAAGTAATATCATGTCCTACCAAACATTTTTAAGCACCAGGAAGCAGCAACACGACCATTCCTCTACTTTAATTAATTAAGGCCTAACATAACAGCTAGTGTGTATAGCAGACAGTCGGGATTTTTTCCCTGCTAATGCTAGGATTTGATAATACTTATTTTTATAGAAAACAAGAACTTTCATGTCATTGAAAGCTGTAAACAGATTTGATAAAATTGGAAATGTAACCAGATCTGCTTCTCAAGATTTGATAAAATTGATGGCCAATTTAAATAACTTTCTCATTTGTTCAGAGAAATCGTCGTCATGTTTGTCACTTTTAGGTAAATTTTCAGAATTTTGAAGGTAAATCTACAACTCTGCATCCTAATTCACATCAGCGGATTACATTGATAACAATGATGCCAGTGCGTATTGAACCATGGCTCGTCTACAATTATTTTCTCCTTAAAGATTCTCATAAAGAATTGCCAAATACTTTGCATTAATGTTCCATGAATCCCTTTTTACCACATACAAAACATAATCCAGAAAATAACTACATAAAAATATGATATTCAATTACAAACTTAATGAGAAAATTGCATTCATCTCGTAAAAAGCCAAATTTATGAAGAGGCTATGTTAATAAATTATGCTTGTGATGTAATTATTCACTAAATTATAGAAAATGAAAATAGGCCTAATTTGGCCCGAGATGAGATTATCTATGCTCAGACAATAAAAGTATGAAATTTAAAGATCGGGAAATTCAAGATAAAGCATAAAAGATGTAATCACATTATAGGTTTTTAGAGACAGAGAGAGAGATTCGTACATTGATATCATCGCCGACGGAATTGAGCTCCTTGTTGGCTCTTTGGCCTATCCAGTACGATCCAACCTTGTTCAATATCTGATCCATTAGAACTATCCAGAGATTGTTCTGATTCGCTCTCTCTGGATAGATGGAGGGGTTTTCGTCTCTGGAAGCCCTAATTTGAGAGAGAGAGAGAGAGAGAGAGAGAGACAGAGAGGTCGTGGTTCTTCCTGGCGACTTAGGCACGCGTCTTTTTCCACTTCATCAATTTCGTCTACCGTCCGTCACTCTGAAAATTCTGAATATTTTACACGTAGGAAAATTGAAATCGACGAATAAAAGAGTTAATTGTAAATTGGATCGTTCAAATCTTAATTTATATTTTTAAAAATAAAAAATTTTAATTTATATCTTTAAAGATAAAAATTTGTATTAATATACACTCTCAAAAGTAAAGAATCTCAATTTACACTATCAAAGATAGAATTTTGTATCAATATGTAAAAAAATTAATCGTTGTCAGTTTACTGATTAAAACTAAATTAATAAATTATACATAAATCCTCTAATACTTGTCACTTAATCTTTTAAACACTTTTACAAAATAAAGGGTAATATAAAATTATAATTTTTTATTATAATAAAATTATATTTTTTAACGGTTATAAAATCCTAACAAAAATACTTTTAATCTAAAATGTCTCCCCAATTGGGTATTTAAATAATTATGTTTACACTAATGCTATTGGGACATAATTTATAAACATAATTTGAAGACATAATGAGTTGTCACAAATTAAATGATATGCCTAAGTGATATATTGTATTAGATATAAAAAATATTATATAAATATTCTCATTCTATTGAACATTCAAATGGTAAGCTTGATTTTGTACCTTAGAGTATATCGGATCCACAAAATAAAAGGGTAATATGAAATTATAAATTTTTATTAGAATAAAATTATATTTTGTAACGGTTATATTAACAGATATTAACGAAAAGGGATTACATGTTCTACGTGCACAAATGTCATGTGATGTAGAAGTAATATTCTAAATATGAAGGGGTTCAAATGATTAAGTGATAAGCATGAGGGGATTTGGGTATAATTTATTAATTTAGTTTTAAACAGCAAACTGACGGCGATTAGTTTTAGGTGTACATTGATGCAAATCACATTAATAGAAATTTCTATCTTTGAGAATATAAATTGAAAATTTTAATTTTTGGGGTTATAAATTTAGAGTCAAACGATTTTTTTGGGTGTAATTTATAATTAACCCCAAATAAACTATAGTTAGCTTAATTTACACGATATCCTCTGTACTTTGGCTTATTTCGTGTTGGTGACCTGGCCGTAAGAGCTAGCCGGTGATTATCTTCCATTATTGCTAAACCAACCCCGCAGATGATTAATATTTTAATTATCATCACTAGTTATATCTCTAAAGTTCCTATAACTTTAGGCAAATAAATAGCACTTTCACATTGATTATCAGAAAAAATAGCTATAAGCATCCGAAAGTGAAATCTTTTTTCGTCCGTTCTTCTTTTTCTCTTGAGTTTGGCTCTTAAGATATGACAGAAAATCAGGTTCTTTAAATATCTCTTAAGACATATTAAGCAAGTTAGTTTGAGATCAAAACTGGACCTAAAAGACACCAGACTTCTAGTAAAATTAGGTGAGCGCGTTTGGATCCGTGAAAGCAATTGCTCAAATGTTCCCCTAACCTAAACTTTTAAATTAGAAAAAATTACACTTAAGCTCTCTGAAGTTTGTCACTTAATCATTTAGTCCCATAATATTTAAAATATTACACATAAACTCCTTGAGGTTAATGTCAATTAGTAAATTACATTCAAACTCCTCAAATATGAAGCGTGTAATATTTAGATCCTTCAAGTTTTAAAAATTACATTTAAATAAAAAATAATCCAATTAAAAATAAAATATCAAATATTTTAAATTTTACGACAAAAATTCATATTCTATTATGTTATTTATTGAAATAAATAAATGTATTCATAATTAGTACCATTGATACCAAAATTTAGATGACCTTCATGTCAGTTTGTTATGCTTTCAATCACTTGAAAAAGAAGTCGAATATTGAAGAAAAGCTTTGGAAGTCGACTCTCAATGTCTAAGTTAATAAGTGACTCAAATATATAAATTGCGTTTAGAAGCTATGAATGATAAACATGGAACATCAATGAAACTCTATTTATAAGAGTTTCGACAATTTGAATTTGCATAGGGATTAATGATCAGAGATCTAGTTTGTCGTACAAAGATAAGGACCCCTTATCTTTATACGCTAATTTGATGTTATCCGTGCAGTTAAATTTACTTTATCCAAGATATGTAAAATCCTACTCCAATTAGAACTCTTAATAGAATAGATTAAACTTAAACTAAATGAACTTTTCACATTGGGTCAATTTTATCATCATCAAATATGAACATATGAAATAATTTAATCAACACATTTGCATGTTCCATTATATATCATTCATCGACATAAAAACCAAATAAATTCCTAATTTTTTGAGAAAAGATAGTAATTAGTATAAATATATCAAATAATTCAATTTAACACTCATTTGCATATAATTATACTGTCTATTAGAATAAAACGAAAAAAACTAAATAAGAGGTCAAACTATAATAGACATAATATCTTCTATCTTTAATTGAGATAATTTAGTCATTTAGCGGATAACGTTTGTCCTGTAACTAATATGAGATCTAAGTATAATATTTTAAACTTAAAAAATGTACGTGTTACAGGTATACAAATTTTACGAGATTTGAGTTTAATTTATTAATGAATTTATTAACGGATAAAATTTACTAATTTTATTCACCTTTCTCACAGACAGACAAAGGTGAACAAAAGTAAGCTCACCCACTGACCCTCTTCTCTCACCAGCCAATAGATTCAGATGAGATTCAGATGATCAGGACAAGAGAGGATTGAAGGAGAAGGGGGAGTGAATGCATGGAAGATAACTTAGCTAGCTATGATCAGTGTTTTTACAAAACGTGAAAATGCATGAATTCAAGAATAACGAGGAATGGTCAAAACTGCACACGACCATGATGGTGAAGGCAGAGAAGCCCAGGTGAGTCCATAGGTACCCATCCCAATCCACTGCGTGGTAATAACCTAGCCTAGAATAGTCCTAAAGGGTGACCATCATATCACATATGTCATGTGTGACAAAATCCTGAGTTGAATCTTGAGTCTTCAATTCTCTTATCAACCATCCTTTAAGTCTAGGTTAAGTAATAACATGAACGAACCGTAAATTCAGACGTCTTGAATTTAAATTTTAATAATTTGTTAGAGTCAAATCAGAAGAGATTTATCTCTCATGAGTGTCTTGATCTCGACGTAGATGACTTTTTTTTGATCAGACTAAGGAATAGATTAGTCGAGGTGTGCGTAAGATGGTCCAAATACCCTAAACCGTTGAACTTAAAAACAAAAAAAAAAAAAAATTCTCTTGACAACCACATGAATTCTCCACCTACATACTAGGGTCGTACATTATGTATTAAACTATCTATATAATGGTTGACAACAGTATCGTACCTATTTTTTTACGATTCCCTTATAAAATTTATCCAATGATTCTAGGATTCTTTCTTGATTAGTATATCTTTCAAGAAAATAAAAAATTAGAGCTACTTTGGGAGTTACAAGAATCATTTTGGTTTACATTTAAGCTCATCCAACCATCAAATTGGTTGTGTTTTGCTTGCACAACTGCAAGCATGCATGAGAGAGAGAGAGAGAGAGAGAGAGAGAGAGAGAGAGAAGGAAGTTGTAAGGTTTACAGTTAAGTTATATTAGTCGTGGTAGATGATTGAATTGATGAAACCAAGTCAAGCAACCATGGCAAGTTGGAAACCATAAAGTTCAACAGTACTTAGACAGATAGACTTTTATTTTCTCTCTCTACAAAGTTAATTAATATCACAGAAAATTAATATGCTAATGCACCTAGGATCAATGTTTCCTAACTTAGCAGACCATTAAGTTATCGAGATTTAATGAAAATTCCACGACACAATTGCTAAACAGAAAGTGGGTTGTTGAGTTGGCTCAAAAGTTTTCCAATAACATAAATCCGATCTTACATGATTCATTAGACACAAATTATTTAACGAATCGGATATGAATATAACATTTTTGACACGAGTCTATTAAAATTGAATACTAACTCACTTTATCTAACATGATTGATTCCTGCCTATTTTTAGTCTCATAAAAATCAACACCTTCTTTTACGCAAGAAAGCTCACCTAAACTTAAATTGCTCAACTGAATCATCCAAAGGCTCCAGCATCATCTAGACCTACCTACAATGTTACCTGGAACTGGAAAGCAACAAAAAACAAGTGGCAAAATTTTCAAACAAAAAACGACAAACAACATAAAGCGTCATGAGGTGCATAAGTATAGCGTCTCTGTAGGGTTTGATTTGACTAAAAAAACAACTTTGAAAGTTTGCAGTGGTCTTCTCTGCTGGATGAACCAACTTTGTTCCATGCCTATTTTAAATGTCAACTTGTCAAGTTGATNCAAAATTTTCAAACAAAAAACGACAAACAACATAAAGCGTCATGAGGTGCATAAGTATAGCGTCTCTGTAGGGTTGATTTTACTAAAAAAACAACTTTGAAAGTTTGAAGTGGTCTTCTCCGCTGGATGAACCAACTTTGTTCCATGCCTATTTTAAATGTCAACTTGTCAAGTTGATGGAAGCCGGTGAGAGATTAACACCAAGTAAAATTAAGAGGAAAAGAATATAATTAAGGAGCTCATTACATCCTTTAGCTTATGCTTAAGGATCTAGAAAACTTTATTAAGTTCCTAATCATAGCATAATTACTGTAGGTGGGAGTGGGGTAACATATCCCACAAAAAATTAGTGCTAAGAACCCCCATAACATGAACGTTTTTTTTTGTTTCAATGGTAAAGAGTGTTTAGATCAGCTTATACCAAGATTAGGATATTCAAGAGAGATAAATTATCCATAACCTTATCCCAAAGATTTGTCAAGCTTCGAACTCAAGACGTCTGNAGGATATTCAAGAGAGCTAAATTATCCATAACCTTATCCCAAAGATTTGTCAAGCTTCGAACTCAAGACGTCTGACTTTACTGCTTCATTATTATTAGTTGAGTTACACTCAGGATTAGTGTATACTATTATCTAAACCTACA